GAAGGGAGGGAGGAAGGGAGGGAGGAAGGGAGGAAGGGAGGGAGGAAGGGAGGGAGGAAGGGAGGAAGGAAGGGAGGGAGGAAGGGAGGGAGGAAGGGAGGGAGGAAGGAGAAAAAAAGCTGATTCTGTTATTGCTGTTGAAACTGGCAGGTGGCGCAGCACAGCTGCAGAGATCAGATTCCTGGAGAGCTGGAGATCAGATTCCCACAGGGTTCCCATGACACGGAGGAAACCATTTAAATAAAATGAAACCTAAATCAAATATACAGACTAGTTTTAGAGAAATAAAAATCCTCCACGTAATAGTTTACTTATCAGTCTTGTCAATTAGAATGGAATAATTAAACACAATTGAATGTAAACCAATGTAATGTTTAAAAGATGTCACTTCATATTCTCTCTCCAGTTAAGAGAGAAAGAGGAAGACGGGGCAAAAAGGGATCTTGCTAAAGCTCCAAGAAAATAAGATCTTAATCTTATATTATTACTGCTCATTTGTATGGTAACAATATCGGAGTTTTTTAGATTTAAATTAACAAATTTTTTATTTAAAAAAAATTTTTTAAAGATTTTATTTATTTATTTGAGAGAGAGAGAATGAGAAAGAGAGAGCACAAGAGGGAAGAGGGTCAGAGGGAGAAGCAGACCCCTGCCGAGGAGGGAGCCCGATGCGGGACTCGATCCCGGGACTCCAGGATCGTGACCTGAGCCGAAGGCAGTCGCTTAACCAACTGAGCCACCCAGGCGCCCTATTTAAAATTTTTTTAAAAATGATTTTATTTGCTTATTTGAGGGGAGAGGGGATGTGGGAGAGGGAGAGAGAATCCTCAAGCAGACTGCACGCTGAGCGCAGAGACCCATGCGGGGCTTGATCCCAGGACCCTGAGATCATGACCTGAGCTAAAATCAAGAGTTGGACGCTTAACCGACTGAGCCACCCAGGTGCCCCAACTAATGTTTTAAAAAGAAACAATGGAATTAGGGTTGATAGCATTTAATTTATGGAATTTCTAATCCCAAATAATATTTTAAAGTACTTTAAATATGTAAAATATTCTAATCCCAAGTAGATTCTAAAGCATTTTAAAAGTTAACTGAATTCCACAAGCCCAACACTGGCAAAATTCCTTTCTTTTTCTCATCTTATGGAGGAGTTCTAACCTTAATCTGTTAATTGGGAAGTGTTCTATCTTATGTTGCCATGAAAAAGGTTTACTTACACAAAGGAATTATCTCCACCTTGTGGTCTCTTAAGAGTTTTGCCTCTGGGCATTTAGAAGAGATGTTTGCGTGAGAGGCTTGTATTTCCAGACGCTAAGCGGGGTTACATGAGACCAGGGTCTCCTAGTTAGCTGATAACAGAGCTAAGACTGCAGCCTGTTTCTTCCCACTCTCCAAGTTGTGCTTTGGGCTCCCATAAGTGGAGTGAAATCTTAGCTATAATGCTGATAAAATTAAGTGGAGGATTAGGGGAAACCTACAGGCCAGAGGTGCCAGTGTCTGATATTGAGACATGTCTCTCAGGGAAACAAACAAAGTAGAATCTATGGGAGTTCAAGTCAGGTTCAAAGGTTTGAAACCCATCACTTCATCACGGCCAATTTAGAAGATAGGGTTTAAGGATTGTTTAAGAGGACAGAGACAGGACCCTTACAAATTACTCTCAGTATATGTCCATTTGGAGAACCTCTGCTCCTTTGTCATAGTTACCATTTCTTATCATCAAATCTTAAAGTCACTATGGAGGCAGGAGATCCCTGTGGATTGGCACACAGAAACCAGTGTAACAAAGTATAGAAAGCAGAACATAAGATTTAAGCAGGAAGTTATATTTTCACTTGACCTATAGGAGGAGATGGAAGGAAGGAAACTGGGAAAAGCCCAGTGTCTACTACTGAACCATCGGCATAGTAAGGGGAGCTCCGTATTTTTTTTTAAATAAATTTTTCGATGCATGTATGCACCATGGGCATAAGAGTTTCATTCATTCTTTCATCCAATAAATATTGATCGTACATCTGTTGTGGGCCAGGGATTGTGTTATGGATGCAAAGATGAACAAGAGCCACCGTCCCTCTCCCTGCACTGGAGTTGCTAGCAGGATACTTCTTTACATGTGATAAACACATATGCATGGTGCAACTTGACCTTGCTACAATAAAGGGAACATATCAACTTTTAAAATTTCACCCCTCTCTGTGAGTTACTGGTTTGCCCCAAATACAGGGAACATGAATAAAATCATCTTTAGCTTTTTTTAGTTGACTAAATTTGTCTTTAGCTTTGCAAAGATCAAAGGAAAAAAATCTTCTATACATAATGGCTTTATATTTTGTGTTCTTTTATTCTTCTACTATTTTTTTTTTAAAACTCTCCTACTTTTTTTTTTTTTTTAGCTATAGAATATAAGTCAATCAGAAGTCAACTACTCAGGGACAGATTTTCTAGTTTTTGCATCATTCAGGCTTGATGGTGCATCTTTTTGGGTGTGGATCAGGGGACAGTTTCCCTTGAAGTCCAACTCTAGTGAAAGGGGACAAAAGACAATTATTCAAATCAATTAAATTTTGCCTCTTGTTAGTTTGTCTTGGAATGATATCTACTGGAAAAAATCACTTCATATTATTTTTACATGTCTCAGGTATTATTGCTTAGGGCTAGGGATACCTTCAAGAATCAGAAGGTCAGGGAAATTTCTGTCATGTCAGGCTGTGAGTAGGCTGTTTCGTAGGGCAGTGGTTCTGGGAAATGTCGGAGTTTAATGTGCCTGGATGGTACAGCGCAGCTGACACTTTCCAAACCTATAATCATGGAATCCTAGGCATTCTGCTTCTAAAGGAGTCTTGGAGGTTACATACTGCTGGGAATCTCGAAGACTGAGCTTTATTATTAGAATTATCTGAGGAGTATTTTTAAAACACAGATTCACACTCAGACTTACTAAATTTGAATTTCTGGTGATAGGGACCCAGGAATCTGTATTTTTAATCATCGATCCACCCTAAGTCCGGCAAGCATCCTGATCTGGACACCAACCACTGTCTAGAAGTGTAAAGCATCTAAATTTTGCTTTCTTGCAAGCTTCCAAGTTAGCCTGACACAATTTCATGGATGCTGGCAGAATATACAAAGGCTCTGAGCCAGAGACAAAAAACTTTATTACTCACGGCAAGAGTAGTAACCAGCGTCTATCACTTGCACTGGTTCCCCAGGCAAACCCCCACATTTAAAGAGGGCCAGATGATACCAGCAAATGAAAGGAATGTGTTACAGGAGAGGAATCCTGAGCTGGAGGAGCATGATTCTTTTATAATGGACAGTAAACACACCTGCTCTTTTCTTGGGATGGAGATACCATCTCTGTCCTCTGAGGCTATCTGATATGCAAACATCCTTAAAAAAATAGTCTGAATAGAGGTGGCCAATGCCTCTGCCTAAGATGGGCAGAAACACAAGACACCCACAGAGAGTTGTCTTCCCAAAGCAACTTAGTCCAATGCTCTCATTTTGAGGATGAGGTCACTTGAGCCCCGGAGAGCTAAGTTGCTTGGTGATATATTCCGTGGGTGGCTCCACTGGGCTCATCCAGTAACCCTGTTCTTTCTATGCTTGTCCTGTTCATGCTTTCCTAGTCACCCCTCTTCCTCCCTGGAATTGATTTCCTAGAGTTAGTAGGTTGTCAGAGATGAAATTATTGAACAGAAGGATTTGCCACATGAATGTAGAGTGACAAGTGCAAATGTTAAGGGCAGACCAAGAGAGAATTTGAAATGGAGGCAATAAGAAATCCATCACCAGCCAAGCTGCCTTCCTCCACCCGAGTTGGCTTGCAATGATAATGCCGTAACAAGACACAAGGTTTTACGTAAACTAAATTGGTAATGTGGTCTTTGACTTTGGAAATGAAAGGAGAGTATTTGAATTTCCTTGGAGCTTCTGTTCCTGACATCCAACTACCTGAAGGGTAAATTACCATGTATTAATGAAAGAGAGCGCTAATTAATAGTTTTGTAGTCAATTTGTTATATTTTTTGTATATTTTAATAGAAAGAGTAAAAAATAATGCAAATCTATACAAGCCACCTAAGATCCTTTCTTAAATAAAGTCAGTAACACATTTAACAAATGATTGAACAATTAGTCCTACAGATCAAGCACTGAGTAATATCTATAGCGAGGAAAAATGATAGGAAAAATGATGGAATTCTGAGTATAATATTTGCTTTCAAGAGGATAAAAATTTGTTAGCTCTGACACTTCAATGACAACTAAAGAGATCAGAATAGGGAAATATTAAAATAGTTTTCATGCCTTGCAAAGGATACATAGAATTTAGAAATCCCAAATGGATTACCATTTATTTCTGGGCACTAATTAAGGAAAATCTTATAGAAAGCATGTAAATGATAACTGTTGACACCGTTTAATACATTTTGATAATTACTTTGCTTTGTGTCAGATACACTGCCCTGCCTTAGCACATTAGTCAGTTACTAGATTGGAGAACTTTGCCATTTATGAAGGATGTACCTTGAAATTGTTACGAGTCCTCAAATATGTAAACACCACCATAGCACAAAAAACTTTTTTAAATTAGAGGGACTTTTTTTCAAAGGTCCAACATACTTATTACTCCCCTAGATTCAACACATATCTAACTGTGAAATGAAAACCACAAGCTCGCCTTCAGATGAGTGTCCAATCTAGTGCGTCCCTTCCAAGTCACGGCATTGTCTCCAGCAATTCAAAACCATTTCAAACAAAACAACGAATCACCGCATCTCATAGAACTTTGAGGTCACTCGTAACCAATCAAACCATGACTTTTGAATCTCTGTGAATGCCAGAGGGTCTGCTGTATAAGAAAAGAACATATGCAAAAACGTCTGCGTGTACCTCGGGATGACTAATGTAACCCTTTTTCCCCTCAAGGACAAGGACATTCCTGTGGAAGAAGAAATTGAACCGGCCCCAGTTAGGAGGATTCTGAAATTCAATGCTCCAGAGTGGCCCTACATGCTGGTAGGGGCGGTGGGTGCCGCTGTCAATGGGTCGGTCACACCACTCTATGCCTTTTTATTCAGCCAGATTCTTGGGGTAAGCAAACGCTGGATTAGCTTTATTCTTCTGATAGTTTTTGTTTTTCTATCGGGGGATATTGTCATTTTTTGATAGGTTGGCTCTGTATTTTGATGGATTTAGCTTTCTTTTCCTCATCTCTAAAGGATTCCAAGTGCCCCGAGTCTCCATGACACAGCAGGTAGGAAGAGGGAGCTGAGCACTCTCATTTGGGCTGGCAGGACGCTCCTAGTCATCGTGTCTGTAAAAAACTGCACGATGGCTGCAAAGGTAGTGTCAGGAGAGGGCAGTTTCCCTATATGCAAACAAAATCGGAATGGAAAGTAGGTTCGTTGAATAATACAGAAGGATTTTAGGGCCTTTTTGATCTTGCTGAAACAGCTGAGGTGCAAAGTTGGCCTATAAAAGCAGGTGTGAGTGCATGTTGTAGGATTGTCTGCTCTGCTGATTGCACCATTGAAATGGCAAGGTGGGGGCGGAAACAGGAAAAGGGAGAAGTAAAACAAGGCATGGATAAATAAGCTTATTTCACTTTTTCACTCCCTAGGAATTTTGATAGTCTCCATCTGACTTCATTGCTACAATAAAAATAATAATAACTACAAGCATTAATTGACACTCTCTAAGCACTTTATATATAATAGTTCACTAAATTTTCCTAGTAACCACCCGAGGTAGGTATTCTTATTGTCCCCGTTTTTACAAAAAAAAAAACAGCGAACCAAGGTATACAGAACTTAAGATAGCAAATAATGGATCTGAGATTCAAATCCAGTGTGACTGGAGAGCCAGGTTCTAATAAAACTCTCATTGCAAAATTAGTTATCGAAATGCTGCCAAGTTTTTTAGTTGAAATTTACCCACATACACAGATCCCATGAGATCAACAAGGGCAAACCGAGAATCTAGATAACCTAATTAATTTGTTCACGGTGATACAGGCATTAGGTGGTAGGGCCAGGACTAGAATCCAGCTTTTCCGAAGCCTAGGCTAAAGGATTTGCCAGCACACCACACTGTCAGAGCTTACCAAGAGTCCTGAGTGTTAGTTTCCCCTCTACTTCTCTTTCTTTTGTGGCCTCTCTCAAGAGGTCCTGATCAGAAAAATGTCCCCATGGGCATGAATCATACAGAAAGGCCTGGACAGTCCACAAACAAAATCAAGTCAATTGGGTCGGGAAGGCCTCAGTCACCGCTTTAGCTTCCATACTGCCCCCTTGTGGTAAGTGAGGAAATCACGGTAGTTTCACAGAGGTAGGAGATCGGAAACGCGGCCCTTCAACTCTGGTAAATTGAATTTCTAGTTGTGTGAAGCCGTTTGTGATGACAATCTTTTAAATAATTAATTTATATTCCTTACTTTCTGGTAAGTACAATGTCCTAAATACAATAGAAATGTTCTTTTATTCACTCAACAGGTATTTGTTGATTATCTCCCATAGACACTGTGTTCAAGGGACTTGGGATTGCATTCAGTCATGCTGCCTTCTCTAATAGAGTTTCTAGTCTATGAGGAAGACAGACATTAAACATAAAAATCTACTCATAATTCAGCAAATATTTATGAATCACTTATTGTTTGTCAGACATTGTTGCTGGGATTGAAGATAGAGGGAGGAACAAGAAAACCAAAGCCCCTCCCTGCTCTCATTACACTGACATTCTAGTAGGGAAAGGCTCTGGAAATGCATCTCAGGGCACAGTGATGAGATGTAGAAGGTGTGGTGGATAGGGTTGAATTCTGTAAAGACCCAACTATGCTGTAGATGTTTGCTTTTAAAATAAGTCTGGGATACCATCTTCTTTGCTGATCATCACTTTCTTAGAAAAACAGAGCAAAGAATATACTCACTCAGCCTTATCCAAACCCTGTACACGAGCTTCTGTGGAAAGAGTGCTGGACTCCCAACCAGGAGATCTTTTTTTCTGAAACTAGCTCTTCTAGATACTCATCAAGCACTATATGCCCTGGGATCCCACCATGCCATTTCTCTGGGCCTTGGGTTCCTCAGCTATAAAACGAAGGATTGACAAAAATGGTTTCTAAGATAACTTCCAGCTCTATTAGTCTATGAAATGGCCAAGTCAGAAAAAAATTTGATGATTCAGTTATAACCCCTGCTCTCCTAGATCACCCACCAGTTGTTGGTAGTGAGAATAGTTTCTGTGATTCTTCGGGTCATAACCAGAAATCCTAGGAAAAACTTAGCTTAAGCAATTAGCTTAAGGGCTGCAGTACCAGAGTAACAGGATCTAGTTGGTGAAATCCAAAGTCTGCTCACGGTTAATGTTCTCACAGGGTTATATTTGCTAAGCAAATGATGCTAAGCGAAGTACTATTTTTCCTCTCTGATAAAGAAGATCATTTCTGTTTGTCTCTTAGCATAATTACCACATATTCATCAGTAGATTCATGATACTTCATCTCAGAGGGTATAATCATGAGTCAGATAATAGTCTGTTTGTAATTATGCTATTTTCATCCTGACATACCTAAAGGGCACAATACTCACATTTGGTGTATTGAGACCACAGTTTGGAACGTAGACCCAGCAAATGATTGCACGCTATTAGGAGCCTGGTTGTTAATCTAGTGAAGCATCAATTCATACATAAGACATAACTTATCTGATTCGCTTTCCATCGGTCTAGTTGACTTGGAAAGTGTACAAGTGTTCCAAGCACAGCAATGTGTATGTAGCATGCTGGGAGAAAACATGAACTTTGGAGACAGCCAGCCCTGGATCTCTGCTCTGTATTCTCTGTGTGCATTCGAACAAGTGGCTTTTCCTTGATGAGTCTTAGTTTCCTCATCTGTAATAAGGGGCAAGAAAATCTACGTCACTGGGTTGTTTTAAGAAGCCTAACTTAAGGAAATCTTCATTTAAGTTAAAATAGGCTAAGTAACACGTTTGGCATCTGGTAAATAGCAAGAGTTTAGTGAATGTTTCTTTTCTTCTTAAACAAACTTATCATTACAAAAATGGCACAGATGTATCATAGAGGAACCTATGGATGGGTAGCTTTTTGTGCTGCATTTCAGCAAGGTTATACCAAGGACTCATGGAGTAGAATTTTGTGAAAAAAGGTTATGGAGAGACAGATGCCCAATCTTGAACTGGAGAGTCATGTGGATTTAATATTAGCCTAATACTTGTTTAACACTGAGAAGATGAGTAATGCCAAGAGCCAAAAGAGCCTGCCAAGAAGAAAACCACTGGAATCAGAAAAATAGACATTTCCTTATCTAATAATAACCACTAGCTAAATGAACTTAGAAGGTTTGATATTTGGGACTCTAGTTTTCCATCTATAAAATAAGAGTTAAGCTGACTCATCTGCACTTCTCTGGTCCTATAGTCCATGATTATAATAGGTGACATGAGGGAGCGATGAGAATTGTGGCGTCACAGTTTGGGGGATTTGAATAGTGATTTTTTAAAACAAAATGAAACAGGTCTTTAAATCCCTGAATTTGTAAACTCTGTTGCGTAAACATATGAATTATTCTATGCTGGGAAGAATGACCGTGGAAACTTCTGAACCTACTTCCATCTGTATTAAGAACATACTATGAAGACCCTAGAAACTGTCCTTGAAACAGTTAATCTTATTAATCTAGAACCCCTCCCTCCACTTTGGAATTTGTGATGATTTGAATATGTTACTTTGCTTTACAAAAAAGGATTTGTTAATGGAGTAGTATACATTGTTTTCAAGAGATTTATTTGGTATGTGGCAGGCACTCAATACATATTTATTGAATAAATGGTTTCTTTTGAGCAACTGCTTGTATTGTTCTAGTTACTTAAATTAATTTAGAGCAATAAATAAGGCTGTCTAATGCATACTTTTTCTGAACTCAGGGTTCCTTTACTTAGCCCAAGTTAGGAATTTTGTTGTACCTGGAATCCATTTCATTATAGGGCAGTGTCATTAGAATATGCAGCTGTTCTCCCCTTGTTTTATTGCAACAGCTGAGTCCCCAGTCAATTGCTTGAGCATACGCCTGCAAGTTCAGAATACACTTATGAAGTATAGTTTACTCCTTCTTATGGACTCAAAAAACCCCATTCACAACTTCCATAGTTGTTTGGGGGGGGTGGGGGATGTTTTCAACTTCTCCTGATTTAGAAACAACAACCTCAGCCTCAGATGGATGGAAAGTGTTTTTTCTCCTAAGCCAATTCCAGTTAATGACTTGACAGCTGGTTGCTTTTTTAATGATGCTATTATTCATATATATATATATATATATATATATGAAACTAATAACGTAGGGCACCTGAGTGGGAAAAGTCATCTTTATTGTTTCTATTATTTGAGAAGGACAGAAATCATAATACTCTGGGCTTTGTTCCAGATAACATTCTTCTCTTCCTTCCTATCTTCCTTCCTTCCAACTTCCCTTCCTTATTTCTTTGCCTTATTACATAAAGGACTTGAGATATTTAATCATGTTTTTCATCCGTATCAATGAAAAGCCAACACAGTTACCTACATCAGGCTAAGAAACAAGACCAAAATTCTGCGAATTGTTGCTATTGGCTTTCATTTGCCAAGTTTCCTTTCCCATGGGGAATTAAGGTACACAGATTCACAGCTAACTTTGGTTTAATTACTAGTATGTTCTCTTAACCTAATGCTTAAGAGAAATTTCTTTTAAACATATTTTATTTCTTTTGCTATTGTTTGTAATAATAAAGTAGTATCTTTGCTTACTATCTTTCAAAGACTTTTTCACTTCCTGATAAAGAAGAACAAAGGTCACAGATCAATGGTGTGTGCCTGCTCTTTGTAGTAGTGGGCTGTGTATCCTTTTGCACTCAGTTTCTGCAGGTAAGGAATTTTATTTTTTAGTAAGTGATTTAGCTATTTCCTCCCATTTCATGTTAAAATATCACTAAAGACTCCTTTATGTTTCAGGAATATGCTTTTGCTAAATCTGGAGAACTTCTTACAAAAAGACTACGTAAATTTGGTTTCAGAGCAATGTTAGGGCAAGACATTGGCTGGTTTGATGACCTCAGAAATAGTCCTGGGGCACTAACAACAAGGCTTGCTACAGATGCCTCCCAAGTTCAAGGGGTAAGCTTTGGGGGAAAACCAGGGGTGTTATCAACTGGAGTAAACATTCTTTCCTTTGAGCATTCTGATAATCACCTATATGTTTCCCATGAAATAGGAACTCATGGGACTGAGATGTCTCAGAGCCACATTTCCCACCATTTCCAATGCTGACAAACAGCAGTCTCTCCCAGGCAATGTCCAGACTCAGTGCCACGAGTCCAAATCTGTCAGGGTTTTAGATTTCCTGGGAGTCTAGCAACTGAGAGCTTTCCTGAGACTTCTTTCTCAGATCATTTTCAGGCCCAGAAGCTCAGATTCTATAAGACTTAATGGCGCCCCCCAGAGGTGGAAGCAAAACTTCCTTACACAGGTGCCCAGCGTGCAGGTAGTCCTAGGAAAAGAGATCTGAGTTGCCTCTGTAAACGCTAGTCAGAAAACTGAAGAAAAGAAATAAATGATTGCCATCTAGAATCCTGAGGCACTCGTAGAGACAGAGCTGTGGTTTCTGAAACCCAGAACCGGCAGCCTTGTTCAGGTGACTCAGCCATTGTAAGGTGAGGCAATGCTTTTAGAAAACCAGGGGTTTGTATGAAAGTGACGAGAGTCAAATGTGCAGTCCAGCACCTCTACTCACTTTCTGTGGGAATAAAAAGAAAGAAAGAGAGAGAGGGAGGAAGGAAGGAAGGAAGGAAGGAAGAGGAAAAAGGAAAACCACAGTTTGTGAGGTTCTTGGAAGAACCCCCTCCCCACCCCCCCACCCCTGCCCGGATTGAAAAACTGAGTAATGTATGTCTTGACTCCTAGCCAGTTCAACCAGAAATACAGACAATGGTGTGAGAGACTTTCAGAGGAGCATGGGATCCTCTTCCTCAGAGCTTTTTTCTAGGTATAAATGTGTTTCTCACAGACTTTGGGTCACACTGTACATATTGTTTTGTAATCTTTCTGTTTTTCCCCTACAACAATCTGATGTGGGCATATTTTCGTTATTACATATTCTTCTAAAGTAGATTTTTGATGGCTGTATAATTCATCATCTTAATGTGTCATCATTTAAGAATTCCTTATTAAAATGTCTGTTTTTCTGCCTTATAAGCAACTTATGTCATTTTACATCAAGCTTGGCTTATCCTTGATTATTATTTTTTTGTTCTCAAAATATAATCATTGGATCAGAATGTACAATCATTTTGAAGGGTTTTAATGTGCATTGTCTTACTGTCTGAAGGAAGTTTGTAGCAATTTCACTTTTACCATCTGAGTATTCTAGTGTCCAGTTTACCTGACTCTTGAGCTTAGGTCAAATAAATAAGCCATCACCTTCTCTCTTCTATTTTTCCATCCTTCAATCTGCAAGGACCTTTTTAAGGTTATTCACTCTCACTTGAATTCAGAGAGTAGCATCTAACTGTCTTACAAAAATTTTACTTATTTTTTTAAAAAATGAAAAGTTTCTAAGAGTTTCTCTAATATTTTTGTTAAACTTTTTTTTTTTAAACGAGATTGCTAACCTGGGTCAAATTTATTTTAATATTGGTGTAAAGTAGAAATCTGGCTTTTTTTTTCTTCAAACTGAATAGAAAATATTCCCCCACCAAAATTTAATGTAGATTTCATTTTCCAGCTGTTTGAAATCCTCCTGCCCTTTGTGACTATCAACTTCCCATGGATACTTGGAGCTATGGGGTTTCTCTATTCTCTTTCACTGATCAGTTTGATTTATTCTGTGCCAGGACATTACTGTTTTAGTTATATAACTTTATGATAAGTGTTTATTATCTGGTAAGGTAGATTCTTGCACTGTAATTTTTCCTCTTCAAAATTCTTTTATTTATTCCTGGACATTACTTATTCTAATGTACTTTAAAATCATCTTGGCTTCTTCAAAAATTTTATTTTAATTCCCATTGAATACATCCATGCAGCACCCCCCGCCCCCCCCACACAAAGATTGCTGTTGTGGGGATGCTAACAGTTCCCAAGAGAGACATAAATAAGAATCTTTAGTTTTTAGTAAGATTTATAACTACATGATATGCTATATGCTATGTATAGTATGTATACACAGATACATTAATATATCACTCTATCTTGTTCATTTTTTCTTATGTATTTTTTTCACAATTTTGAATGAATGTCATAGATTGAGATTTTAGCTATTACTTTTTGTATATTTATCTTATTGCCATCCACTTTTTTAAGTTTTCTTATTAACTAATTTTTAAAAAATTTAATATAGTCTTTTGAATTTCTAGGTATATAATCAAATTATATGCAAAGAAAGATAATTATATCTCTTTTTTTCTTTTTCAATTCTTATACCAACTATTTTATTTTCTCATTTTATTTCAATACTAGAAGTTTCAAACACTTGAGTAGAGTGCTAAGAGGAAGTAGAGGAGATTCTCATAAGCAAGACAAAAATACGTAAAGTAGACTTGTCAGACTACGTAAAAACTTAAAACTTTGTATAAACAAATGATGGATTATGAAAATATTTGTAACAAGGATTAATGTACCTAATAAGTCTAACATGCATAGTGTTCCTAAAATTGGTTAAAGAATAAAAATAAACCAAATAATAAAGATTAAAAAAAGGTATATGGACAAGCAACAAAAAAAGAAATGCAATGGAACAATTAACAAATGAAGAATTGTATAACCTTATTAATAGAAAAATACTCATAAAACATTGAAACACCATTTTCCACCTACCAACTCAATAAAAACTCTCATGAATGACAACTTCCTATATTTGTGAGGATGAAGAGAAACTGACAGTCTTGTAAGATATTGGTTACAGTTTGAATTCTTCCAACATTTTTTAGAGAATAATCAGGTATGCAAAGCCTCTGACTAAAATTCATATGAGTAAATTCTCTCCTATTTTGTGACAATGTGCACTCAGATGTATGTTTATATTGATCAAAAAAATTAATAAAATTCCCTGGAAACTACCTGAATATCCACCAATAAGAAAATAGTTGAGTGAATATATCCATACTAAGGAAAAGTAGGCAGCTATTTTTAAAGGTATTAAAGTAATGATTTGGAGGGGTGGTAACGTTACACCAAGTGAAAAAAATCGAAGTACAAAGTAATATCTAGACTGATCCCTTTTTTATGAAAATGTTTATTGTTATGTATGTATATATATTTTACATGTCTTGAGCTGTATTACTTTTTAAATTTTTAAAAAATATTGATTGACTAAAATGTGAAAGAAAACAAAATAATGAAATTCCAAAGAACTATGCAGCTATTTTCCAAATTCTCTATAATGCCTGACCGTCCTTGCCAACTAGAAATTCTTTTGTTCTTTTTAACTATAGTAAAATATACAAAACATAAAATTTACCATTGTAACCATTTTTAAGTGTACAATTCAGTGGCATTAAGTGTATTCACATTGTTATGTAACCATCACCACTCTCCATATTTAGAACTTTTTATCATCCCAAATAGAAGCTCTGTACCCATTAAATATTAACTTCCCATCCCCCCAATCCCTGATAAACACCATTCCATGCTGACTTTATGAATTTGACTATTCCAGGAACCTCGTATAAGCAGAATCATATATTTGTCCTTTCATGATTGGTGTATTTCACTTGGCTTAGTGTCCTCAAGGTTCTTCCATATTGTAACATGTGTCAGAATTTCATTTCTATTTAAAGGCTTGGATAATATACCATTATTTGTATAGACCACATTTTGTTTGTCCATTCTTCTATCAGTGGACACTTGGGCTGCTTCCACCCCTTAGCTATTGTGGATAATGCTGCTATAAATATAGGTGTACAAATAAATTCTTAATTTAGCTTTTCCTTCCTGTCTTCAAGGAAGTTATAACCAATATATGGGAGTTCTTGGGACCAGAGAGTTCATATTCCATTTGAGTCTTCAATACAGTATGAAGATGCAAATTATTCTTGCATAGCACTTCCTCAGTACCTATGGTCACCTAAAAGCTTACCTGTGATTGTTTTGCCTTCTTTATTTTTTAAATAATGCTAAAGTCTCTGTAATACTGACAAAAATCTTGCAATTGTACCCAGGCAAGTCTTTCCTACACAGAAGACACCAACCTGTGGTCACATCTGCACAATTGCAACTGAAAGGAGATTTGGAACCATCAAATAATTTTGATTATAAATAGTAATTACCACCAGTGTCCATTCTCCACCTGTATTGCAACTGAATCCGTTTTCTCCATTTTGTGTTGACTGAACAGCTAGTTATTAAGTCTGCATGTGATTTTGCACCAATGAGCAGGTTAACTTCAAGGAGAATCAAAATCTTATAATAGTCTTGTACAAATTTCAAAACTATAATTAAAGAACAAGCATCAATCTTCACCGAATAATCAGAACTATTACCATAAGACCAAGGCCTGGGTATTTTCAAGCAGACCAAATGCCTAGTCACCTGACATACATGCCGCCCTTGCTTAGGGCTGAATTAGTCTCATACTGACTGCTCTAACTCTGACACCCATGAAATAAGATCAGTCAATAGATGAGCTTCCACAAAGCTGTGAATAAAATGGACTTTTATTAATCCAGTCTTCGAGTGCATTAGGGAGCTCATTATTTTAAAAAATCTTTTTAAACATAGAACTACCGAATGACCCAGTAATTCCACTCCTAGACATATATCCAAAAGAAGGAAAGCAGGGTCACAAACAGGTATTTGTACATCAATGCTCATAGCAGCATTATTCATATGGTCAAAAGGTGAAACAATACAAGCGTCCATCAACAGATGAATGGATAAATGCAATGTGGTACATACATATAAAGAAATATTATTTAGCTTTTCAAGGAATGGAATTCTGATATGTGCTACAACATGGATGGACCTTGAAAATGTTATGCTTAGTAAAATAAGGTAGACACAGAGGCTATTGTACAATTCCACTTAGATACTCAGAAGAGGCAAATTTATAGGGACAGAAAGTAGAATAGAGGTTGTCAGGGGCTAGGGAGAGGGAAGAAGAGGGGTTATTATTTAATGGGTACAGAGTTCTTGTAGATGATAAAAAGATTTTAGGCATAGATGATGGTGATGGTTACACAACACAATGTATTTAATGCCACGGAATTTTATACTTATGAACGGCTAAAATGAGAAACATCATGTTATGCATATTTTATCAGAATAATTTCCTTTTTTTGTATAAAATTGCCTTTTCACATAGTGATATTTGGTAAAAGAGACTGTGTGTCTCAGATCGGTTGATTGCTTTTGGTTTGCAGGCAACCGGCTCTCAAATCGGAATGATGGTCAATTCCTTCACGAACGTCACTGTGGCCATGATCATTGCCTTCTTCTTTAGCTGGAAGCTAAGCCTGGTCATAATGTGCTTCTTTCCCTTCTTGGCTTTATCGGGAGCCATACAGACCAGAATGTTGACAGGATTTGCCTCTCAAGACAAGGAGGCTCTGGAGATCGCTGGCCAGGTAACCTTGCAGACCCAATTTTCAAACTGCTTACAACTCAGTGGCTGTCAGACAAACCGTTAAGGATGAGTAGTACAGAGAGACTTAAGGAAGGTGTTAGCCTACAAACGTTCATCCTTGGAAGCCTCCCACTAGCCTTTTTAAGCTGTGGCAATAAAACTGATGCAGTGAGTGTGAGCAGATGTAGAGAAATAGCGGGGCAAACAGAGTGGGTTACATATTCAATTTCCTCTCCAATGGTTATTTTCTCCACCTCCTGTTTCGGTGTATTCTTTTTTGCAAGAGTGGAGACTTCAGTTTTCTGTCTGCTTGGTTTCTTAGCTAAATGGTTTCCGCAGGTCATGTTGCCCACAGAGAGAGGCACTATCATCTTTTGAATGGCACACACTTTTAATTTTCACACTTTAGTGCCTGCTAGACTTATAACAAATGTCTTTCCCAAATGGAACTATGACATTCAGTTTAGGTCTCAATTACTCTTAGTTTTCGGTGATGCACTTTTAAAAGTGTGTTCTAATGAATATCTGGTTATCAGGTAAATGAGGAGATGGCAGCATAAACATTTATCAGATATAAGAGTCATGCATACACATATACACACCTTTACTCTTTGAACAAATTTACTGTTATCTAGGTTTTGTCTCTTAAGGGAGGAAATGTGAACATTGCCCAAGTAGACAGAAGCCAAGAAGATTTCATATACCGATGGGAGAGAGTGGACCACCTCTGTGCTATTTTAGGATAGAAAATGCAAATTCGGAAACAGTGATGATTTACCCTAGCGTATAGACTGAAACAAATACAAATTCATAGTATAGACTAAAGATCAACTTTAAACTTAGGTAATATTTGGCCAGATTAATGTTTTTTAAGATTTTATTTATTTATTTGACAGAGAGAGACACAGCGAGAGAGGGAACACAAGCAGGGGGAGTGGGAGAGGGAGAAGCAGGCTTCCCGCGGAGTAGGGAGCCTGACGCGCGGTTCGATCCCAGGACCCTGGGACCATGACCTGAGCCGAAGGCAGACGCTTAACGAATGAGCGACCCAGGTGCCCCGGTCAGATTAATTTTTTAAGAAAATAGAATCGTATTTTGAACTTACATTGTTCAGTATCTTTTGTGCCGGAAGACATCTAAAGATATCATTCTAAACATTTCAAATAAATTCACAAAAGAGCTAAAAGCTTTCAAGGATCAGCATGGGTACATTTTCCCTTTTCTCTCTTCTACAAGTGGAGGCAACAAAGCCATGTTAGTATTAAGTAGAACTTGAGGTTAACCAACTCATGATCCAGGTAAGCTGACCTCAGACAACTTCTTTGTGTTCCCAGATAATGCTTCTGCCACAGATTCATACCACCTTCTGCCATTCGCACCAGATTGAGTCCATGTAGCAGCTGAAATGTCATGAGAGTAGTTATTTCTGCTCTTTTGTTCCTAAGACTCTTTTTCACTTTTCAGATTACGAATGAAGCCCTCAGTAATATCCGCACTGTTGCTGGGATTGGAAAGGAGAGGCAGTTTATTGAAGCATTTGAGGTTGAACTGGAGAAGCCATTCAAGACTGCCTTTCGAAAAGCGAATGTTTATGGATTATGCTTTGGTTTTTCCCAGTGCATGGTGTTTGTTGCTAATTCTGCTTCCTACAGATATGGAGGTTACTTAATCCCCAACGAAGGGCTCCATTTCACCTATGTGTTCAGGTGAGGACTATCAGGCCAAGGTCATAAAAGACCAGCACTCTAGGGAGGAATAGCCTGGCTCTGTAAGGTAGGCTTTGCTGCTTGACAAACCATACCAACCTTGGTGTCTTAAACAGTTGGGATTTATGATTTCTCAAGATTCTTTGGGTTGTCAGGGTGGTTCTTCTGGACTAGACTGATTCAGTCAGGCTTCTGCATGCCTTTCTTCATATCACGGTCTCAGTATTCCAAGCACAACAAAAGAGAGCAAGCCCCGTTGTGCAATGTGAAAGCACTTTTCGAGTCCCTGTGGGCGTCACATTTTCAAATATCTCTTTGGCCGAGGAAAGTCATACAACCACCCCAGATTTAAAGAAAAGAGAATGGAATCTACCTTTTAATGAGAGGACCTGAGTGTGTTTCTCCTTTACGGTCACACTGCTGTCACACACACACTTCTGAACCCTGATGGATCCCAACTTAATTCCGACACCATCTACCAGGAGATAGCGTCGGATCCCACAGGTTAAGGGCTCCGTCCTGCCAAGACTGCCCATATCACCTTCCTTAGACCCTTCAGACACCCTACCTTTCCTGAGGTCAGGGGCAGGGAGAGGACTGAAATTTCCACCTTTCTAATTGTGTGGTTACTTCCCTTGGCAACTAGCAGCCTTCCAAAGTCACCTCATTAACATTACCAAAGATACCTTGATCGCTCTCCAAATTTAGGAACTTCCGAGGATTTAAGAGCTCTGTGCCAGGAATGGGAGCCAAAGACCAAATAGATGTTTCTTACTATAAATCACAGTATCACAGAGGAGTGAAAAAGTCATATTGCAAAGGGATTTGTTCAGAGTAATAGGATAAATGAACCATTTACACAGTCTGTCATACTGGTTAATGCTAAGAAAATCTAGAGGTCTTGAATCAGAGACTTCTTTGAACCATCTACTTCTTGCAAGAAGGGCATGTTTCCAGCTTAATCCTCCCAGGTAGAGAAAGCAAAGGCCAGGACAGGGGAATTATGTTCCTTTTTTATAGTCTGCGTCTGCTCTTCTGATAAGATTAGTTTCTCACATTTCTAGAGGTGAGAGCCAAACGGTGTCAGGGTACCAAGGGACTGGGGGTGGGTGTATATGGCTATAGTGTGGTGGGGTGGGGGATGTTAGAGGGATGAGAGAGAGGTTGTCTGAGAAGGGCTTGGGAGGACATTAGGAAAAGTGGTCCCAGCAGAAAACTGTTCTTTTGGGGTCATTCTCAAGCTATGAGATCTGTCTTCTTGCCTTCTATATTTCTTCTAGAAATATAGAAGAGCTTTTTCTCCTGCCCCGCTCGACCCACCCCAATCAGGAAAGCCTCTTTTCTAAATTTTGGCATATTGAGAGCTGTGAACCCCCAAATCAGAAATCACAAACTGTTGACTTGTTAGTTTATGTGAGATATTTGAAGAATTATTTGCCAATATGTAAAACTTGGGAAACTATAGAAAATTCCCAACTTCTGGCTTCTCTTAAAAAACTGGTGAAAGGTAGAAGGTGAAAGATCACCTTCCACCATTTCCCATTTTATTCCAGGTGCTTTTCATTGCTTTAAGTTTTGGGCTAGGCTCCTAGAGATGTTTGGGTTTGCAAGTCTGGCCTAAAGGAATTCCTTGCTTATGAACTGAGCAGTAGAACACACAATGTAGTTATAGTGAATATAGTGACTATAGTTAAAAGTTTTAGAAGCAAACAGACAATTGTATCTTTCCCATGGTGTCTGAAGCATGAATGACATGCATGCTTGGTACAGAAGGATGCTTATATCACTGATCATTGTCTTTTACACACTTACCATAGATTCAAAGAATGTTAGCTTTGTAAGAACTCAATGCAATCTGGTGATCTTTCAAACCCCCTCCCTCCCCCCTTTTTTTTTTTTCTAAGAAGTCTTTTTTTTTTTCCCAAACAAGTTTTTGAATAAGAGGCTATAGTAGCTAAAGCAGGGTTTGGAGGTGTGAACACCCCTTGTGCAATTCTCCCCTCACCATTTTTACACAGAACTCATTGCAAACTGCTAGTCTCTCCCAGCCCCCATTCCCAGACAAGTCTAAGGCGACCTGCTCAAGGCTGCTCCGTTCTTTCCTAGCAGAACCAGGGCCAGACCCCCCCATACCTTCCTCTTAGGCTGTCATACCAATCACCCCATACTCCTTCTTCACCCGGTGTCTGGTCTATTGCAGGGTGATCTCTTCAGTTGTATTGAGTGCAACAGCTCTTGGAAGAGCCTCCTCTTACACCCCTAGTTATGCCAAAGCCAAGATATCAGCTGCACGCTTTTTTCAACTGCTGGACCGACACCCCCCAATCAAGGTGTACAGTAGTGCAGGTGAAAAGTGGGTAAGTACTGAGGGGGATAAAGAGGGGGTTGGGGGGGGCACTGTGCTTATGGGTGTGTGTATGTGCAGAACAGCCTTTGGAGCTGGTCAGAAGATATCACTTAGTTTTTCAATTCCTGAAGTTTATGGGTTCATTCATATGCACTCAGAATGCACAGACAGTAGATTTATAAATGTAAAGGAATGAAGTAAATTAGCATTAAAATTATTCATAAAGCTGGCATTTGAATAAGGCAATGATATCCAGTGAATGCTAAACTCTGTGTAATAGAAAACACACTTAGTTCCAGAACGAATGAAGCTGGATATCTTTTGAGACCTACCCAACCACCATGTTTTCTACCAGTGTTCTGGTACGGGATGTAGAAAAACCAGCTCTTCCTGTCCAACAATATTGATTCAATTCATGTTTATCTAGGCTCAAGTTTTAGCTCATGTGGATCCCCAGAACACTAATTTGATCTCAACAAAATATCTTTTCTTCTGATAGTCCTCACAGACGTTTTTTAATATTCCCTGCCTATTTTTTTAATATTCCAGTGTTTTCAAGAGAGCAAAACAAAACTAAACCCTAGTAAAGCTGAACAAAATTCAGAAATCTTTGTAAATTGGTCAAGTGACCTGTTCCCTGTTGTTATTAAGTTCTATCCCTTTCTGGAATTCATAATTCAGATAGTCCAACTGAAGGTATCCACCTTCGCAATACAGGGTGCAAGTAACTTTCTGAGTCATTTGAAGCATAATGTTATTATTAGAAATCTTTAGGGGGAGCATAACTCTAGGGGTTTGGACAGTTCTTGGCTTCTGTGATGGAATCATATCTTCTACTTGTTCTTTTCCACTCGGAATGTCAAGGAAAGGATGACGAGGACATCCCTTTAGGTTAGAATGGGAATGAGAGGTCACATATCTTTCATTTCACTGCTCAAACCTCCCTTTATTCTCTACCTGCCAGAATAGGGAACAGAATGGCATTTCATCAAGTGGCTGTCTTTAGACTTTGCACTATGGCTGCGTGCTGTTGAAGGTATCTTAAGCAAGGACTTAAAACTCAGATTTAGGTGCATTTTCAGTATTCTGGATTCTAGTAGGAACCTATGTAAGTCCCATCTTCCCATCCACAGGACAACTTCCAGGGCCAGATTGACTTTGTTGACTGTAAATTTACATATCCTTCTCGACCTGATATACAAGTTCTGAACGGTCTCTCAGTATCGGTTCGTCCAGGTCAAACGCTGGCCTTTGTTGGAAGCAGTGGATGTGGCAAAAGCACGAGTATTCAGCTGTTGGAGCGTTTCTATGATCCTGACCAAGGGGAGGTGGTAAGTAACGCAAATGCCTTAGAGAATTGTGCTTTCTGCAGAATATCTCCAACCCCTTCGAAGTGGTTTCAAGATTCCGCCTTGCCAGATTCACTCTAAAGTGCTTGCCTCGGACACTTACCCCTGTGGATACTTTCCGGTTCCCGTCATTTGCTGGTTGACCTGATTCTACCTCACACTTTCTAACATCATATTCTTCCCAGTTCCAGATGGCCTGCTGACCAGTTAGACAAAGCAAACTGGGCGCACGGCAAAGCTGGAGATGAGTGTGTTTAACAGAAGTGTTCACTTACCTGTAAATGGAGCAGAAAGTGCAAACTAATCAGGAAACTAGTGAGCGCGAAGGGAAAAACTGACGGGGTGATAAGTAATGCAATGATAAATAAGTGGGGGGGGGTTGAGTACGAAAAACCTGACACAATCCTGGTTCGAGAAGCTTATGTCTACATGACATAAAGAACTCAAATTGGTAGTTATGTGCCAACAAAGCTTTGGCAAGGAGATTTGAAAAATTGGTGAACTGCTTTGTTGCTCATTTTCCAGAGCATTTCTTTCTCTTTTCTGCCTTTTTTCTTGTCTTTCTTTCCAAATAATATATGCAGAAGAATACAAAATAAAATAGGAAAGATTTGTAATAAAAAGCAACCTCTTAGTTTACCCTTTCCACTGCTCCCCATTTCTCTGTTCAAAGACAGCTATTTTTAACTACACGATGTTTTTAGATCTTTCAATGATTATCTCAACATCTCTACAGAATATGATTACGCAGCTGTTTCACGATTTAACAGATTCAGACTCTCTGTTGACTTACTCTCAAGAGAGGGAAATTTAGCTTACCCTTCCCACTCCCCCTGTTTTTACACACCTCCTCCCAATATAGATATATCACTTTAAACAGTTTCTCTGCTTGTAAATTTAATTAATATAATTCTGCTTCTTTTCCACCACCTTCAGATAGTATCTCTTGAATTCTCATCTTTTTGACATGATAGTAGCAATCCTATGTTTATTTTCACCTCTTCCTCCCTCCTTTTATTTCTCCAGTCCTAATAACTGTACTTTTATATTATCAAAATGCAAAACACTAACATTCTGTTTAAAGCATTTATTATCTTTCATGCTTTCACTCTAGGCTGACTCTAAAAGTTAAAAATCAACTAACGACTTTTGTTATGATTATGTAAATACTGTTCATCCCATAGTCAAGTGGTGAGGTACATCAGCATTACATTTTCTTTCCTGATCGTTTTCTTAAAGGCTTTCTTTTTTCTTGCACCCTCTGCCTTTATAAAATGTTTATATTCTTCCAATGTCTCTATCCTGCTACCTTTTCTGAGGGACCAGCTTTTTTCTCTCATGCCTGTCACTGCCTGGACTCATTAACAACCTGTGGCTGCCGAACACTTGTCACCCTGTGAGTTTCCTGCCTGTTTTCTTGGGATTAGATCCGTCATTTCCTAATTCCCATATCTTCCTCTTTCTTGGGTTTCACTTTCATTTTGTTGGAGTGCATCCACCAGTAGTTTTCTAAGAAATGATTCAGAGGCATAGGTCTGAACATGTTTTATTCTGCTCCACACTTGATTGAGTGCTGAATTCTAATATTTTGGGAGAAAAAAGGCCTTTTTGAGTTCCCTGGGTAGTATGATCTTCATTGCAATGAGGACAGGTCACATTATGAGGAGAAATGCTGAGAGAAACTCGAAGGAGGCAACTAAAGAATCCCCTGAATAAAGTAAAACAAAGAAACAAGTGAACAGATATTGGTAGAATCCAGGAAATTATGCAAATAAGGAGTAAGAGTTGATCATATATAATTTATAATCACTTTTTAAATTAATTTTAGGTATAAAGATTTTAATTTGTTTAAAAGTACATAGTGATTGGGGCGCCTGGGTGGCTCAGTCGTTAAGCGTCTGCCTTTGGCTCAGGTCATGATCCCGGGGTCCTGGGATCGAGGCCCGCATCGGGCTCCCTGCTCGGCAGGAAGCCTGCTTCTCCCTCTCCCGCTCCTCCTGCTTGTGTTCCCTCTCTCACTGTCTCTCTCTCTCTGTCAAATAAATAAATAAAATCTTAAAAAAAAAAAAGTACATAGTGATTGAGGAACCTAGAAAGGTCATTGCACTGGGGTCTGATCTCTGCAAAGGAGAGGGTCCAGTTTCCCAAAATGTCAGATCATCCCGTCTATCACCCTAGGTAGACTGTGAGCTATGAGACATACAGGGACCCAAATCCTTCACGTTTGACCTTTCCGACATTAACATATACATTAAGTATATTTCTCTCAATGTGCTCAGTGCCTGTTCTGGTCATAGGTAGGAAGCAATGCCCATGAATCAATCAGCATGATTCCTTGCATCTCATAAATACAATATATTTTATTGTATCATTGTAAAACATTTCTGCGAACTCTTTTTAAGTGGAAAGATACCATCTTTTATGCAATTTTTAAAAAAATTGTCTTTGCTTTTAAGGAAGCTACCAAATGCAACTTTCAATGTTTTCAACATTTAATTCCTGTGATATGCAGTACCGTTTTAGGCCCTGTGGGAGATTCTAAGGAACGTGAAGCATGTCTTCTGTCTTTTAGGAGCTTACGATACTACCTCATGTACAGTAATTAGCAAACAGCTCCAGTATTTACTTAGGTATCAAATTGTGCTTTGCAATTTATAAGTACTATGGAAAATAAGTAGAGGAAGATGAGCCAGGGCTAATTGCTGAGGAATGCCCTACATTTTTTCCCACTCTTGTTTGCTTTTTCCATTGTTGAGTATTTATCTAAAATATCTTATGTTCACAGCATTTAACATAACCTTTTTCTGAAATCAGAAGGCCAAACACTTTATAGTAGTATATTAGACATACCGTCTCTTTACTATCTTAAGGCTTTTAAGTGAAACAGCTCAAATGGTAGATATTTGAGTTCCTGTACTCAAGTGTCTGGCCCACGGATAACAAGAACACAGAAATTATTTTTTCATTATTAGCAGCCATAGCACGGTGCCCTTGTGCCAGGAAATTCAATATATGTTTGTTGACTGACTAAGTGAATAAATATACTTGTTTCTTACTTGGGTCTATTATCTCATGTTAGTGTCAGTGAAATCAAGGAAACAGCTTTAATTCTTATATTGTCCAATAGTTTTACATAGAAGAGCCTGTTCTTTTTTTTTAAGATTTTTTAATTTATTTATTTGACAGAGAGATAGAGAGAGAGCACAAGCTGGGGGAGCGGCAGAGGGAGAGGGAGAAGCAGGTTCCCCGCTGAGCAGGGAGCTCGATGTGGGGCTGGATCCCAGGACCTTGGGATCATGACCTGAGCCGAAGGCAAACGCTTAACCGACTGAGCCATCCAGGCGCCCCAGAAGAGCCTGTTTCATAACCTGTGGAGTCTCAAAATTGAGTAATTCTTCATACTTGTAGAGCATGTGCTGCACCAAAGTATAAGGGGAAATTTTTTTTTAACAAAATACTGTCCTGAGTGCCTTTCTCCTTTGTATTGCCTGTAAAGCTAGAGTTTGGGAAACAACAAAAACCATAGTCTGATCATAACTTTGACACCACTCCTGACACACGCTACCTCTAGAGGTCAAAGGCAACATAACTTCTTTATAAGATTCCTGGGATTTTTATCTCATAAGCAAAACAAATGTCTTGTATAATCCTACCTCTAGAATATGAACTTTCTTCGCTGCTGGCATTCTAAAACTTAATGCTCTGCTGGTCCCCTCTATTGGCAGATGATAGATGGGCATGACAGCAAAAAAGTCAATGTCCAGTTTCTCCGCTCGAACATTGGGATTGTTTCCCAGGAGCCAGTGTTGTTTGCCTGTAGCATCATGGACAATATCAAGTATGGAGACAACACCAAAGAAATCCCCAAGGAAAAAGTCATAGAAGCCGCAAAGCAGGCACAGCTGCATGACTTCATCATGTCCCTCCCAGAGGTGAGGACTAGGTCGAAGTCTTTCCCTATGGGAGACAGGGATGTGTAGAGGTAGAATGGCCAGAAAGTGTTATGACTGTGGCTCAAGGAGAGGGTCAAAGGCAACACGGGTCATTTCCTGGTGCTCTGGGATTGCCTCTGTCTTTTAAGCAAAATAAATATCCGTCATCAACATACTCTTTAGTGTTGGAAAGTGTTATATTATCCAGTGCAAAAGACACCATGAAACTTATTGCACATAAAGCACGACTACACTGAGCATCGGTGTAGCAAGATGGGAAACAATCCTGAGATTTGGAGCAGGTATGGCTTTGAACCCAAACTCTGCCACTTACTAACTATAACAGTTGCTTATCTTTTCTGAGACTCGGTCATCAGCAAAATGCACAAAATAACATTAAAATGAGAGAGTACACATAATAGCCATCCAAAGAAAACTGTGGCCATTATTATGGTCATCATCATGATTGCATTACTTGGCAGCATATACTGTGCGTGGTGGGGTGAGTTGCATCTGCCTTCGTGCTTCTCACTTTTCCAGAGCCAAATTTAAACTTAGTACAATATTGACTCTGCATTTTTCCATCCACCAAGAGCCTCTTGGGGGTCGATCACAAAGAAAATTAACACAAGGAAATGAAATTTTAGGAACCAAACTTTTCACCTTTACCCCTTCTTTTAAATCCCACTGGGAAATTACTTTTCTTTGTAAGTGATTATGTTTATAAATTTTGTGCTGTTTGTGGTGGGCTTTTTCCTTTGTTCTTTCTCACAAAGGCTCCTAAGTCTTAGCCTGGTTCTAGCCTGGGTAGTGAAATCCACAAGCATGTAGAAATTACTGAACGAAAAGCAAAGCTTGTGTGTCCCTGAGAGATTCATTTATTCCATGAATCTTTGCTGAGCACGTCCTCATTTTGTGGGAGACAGTGGCTGGGAGGCAGTTTATGGCCTCTTTCTCCTAGGGACTTACCCATCGTACCCCTCACTGAGCACTGTTTTTCCATGAGGACAGAGCAGGCTGTCAGGAGTCTCCCCTGGCTGGTTAGCATTGTCAGGAGGCAGGGGAAACGGGGAGGAAACACACTTGTTGTGGAAGGCAGGGGAGAGTAGTGGTCAAGGGCAAAGTCTCAGAAACAAGACGCACCTGGATTTAGAGTTCACCTTCACTGCTTTGTACTTGTTCGTCTTTGCACAATATTCTTACCTGTCTGTGCCTAAGTTTTGTAACCTGTAGAGAAAAAATTATTTCTGTGAATGTTAAATGATCATCTGCCTGGAATAGTTAATGCAATACCCAAAGCATGGTAAATATTCTGTGAATGTTAACTATTTTTTTATGTAGTCATGCCAGGCATCTAGTTAGGGATTTTCCTTCATAACTTCACCTAAAACAACAAATATATGAACTAGTTATTAATATCTGCATTTTTCAGACAAGTTGGCGCTCAAAGAAATTTAAATAATTTTTCATGCTAATAAGCAACAGAGTGGAGATTCGCACATAGGTTTGTGATCCAGAATGATGACTTCTCATAAGAGGATGGACCAGAAGATCTCTCAAAGGGCCCTTACATTGGTAGGATCATTCCACCTTGGAAAGATCTTCCAGACAAGAGTTTGGAAATCAGAGAATCTTAAATCAGAGAGATCTCATAGACAGGGAAAAAGAAAAAAAAAAATACAAACTTAAAATAAATGCAGAGAAGGGGACATAAAATCCCCTATTTTCCCAACACACCCCATATTTTTCTTATATCCCTAAGTGGATTTGACATCCTTTAGAGAAGGACTCATTTATTATTCCCAATTTTAAAAAACAAAAAAATTGTTTAAATCCACAGAGAGGTCCTTGATGTGGGCTCCATACAGCATAGGAGAAATGACTGTTTCTGTGTCTCAAACTTACCATACTTTTTCCAGAAATATGAAACTAATGTTGGGGCCCAAGGGTCTCAACTATCTCGAGGAGAGAAACAACGTATTGCTATTGCTCGGGCCATTGTACGAGATCCTAAAATCTTGCTACTAGATGAAGCTACTTCTGCCTTAGACACAGAAAGTGAAAAGGTATGTATTGATTTTCTAAAGTCCCTTAGATCATTATAAATGAGTCTTTTGCTGTAATATATGCCCTTATAAAATGGCACTATTTTCAATTTTCTGATTCATTGACAGTATAAATGGCCCTACTTGGTGGAACAAAAAGACAATAATCTAGAGGAAGTGAGGCAAAATGGGATTGTTTCAAATAAAAAAATGTATTTTAACTTTAAAATAAGAATTGTTTTTAAGACTGTCTAAGCTAGGTGACACTTTTTCAAGGGTAAGTAATTAGCTTTCTTAAGTGAAATAAAGTAATCTAGGTCATCTGTTAGGCATTTCATATTTTATAATTTCAAAGTTACACAGCAGAGCAGGTAGACAGCATACAACACAACGTAAGAGGTGGTGTCTAATGTGCAGCTTGCATGAAAGCAAATGCAATTGGGCAAAACAAAATTATGAAATTTACCATTTACAATTAACTCCTTAAAAATCAGGATTCCTTTTGGAGAAAACTGAAATGTCCTCAGCGAAGAACAGTATCAGTAATGACCACTTAACTGCTACCTTACACGGTTTCCTTGGTTGCATTTTTGCCAACTAGACCATCAAGTATTGTAAAATTACATAGTGACCTCCAGTTTGCTTCATTCTTGCTTCACTGAAATTTCTCAGCTTGTAGAACACAACTGAAATCACTGATGCATTGCAGTCAGCAAATACGTGTGTCATCCTTGCCCTCTTGTCAAGCCTTTGGGTTTAACCCCTGAGTATCACAATGTTACTCAAGTAGCATTCAGCAGAATTCTTGCAATATAGGGCCAAGGAACAAACGTGTGTCTTTGCATCAGCTTTCCACCTTCTCTTTGCAGATGGTGCAGGCCGCCCTGGACAAAGCCAGAGAAGGTCGGACCTGCATTGTCATCGCTCATCGTTTGTCTACCATCCAAAACTCAGATATCATTGCTGTCATGTCACAGGGGAAAGTGATTGAAAAGGGGACCCATGAAGAACTGATGGGCCAGAAAGGAGCCTACTACAAACTCGTCACCACAGGAGCCCCCATCAGTTGAGCTGACTCAAGAACGTCGTGTACAGATGAGGCACCAATTACAGGAGGGCCGTGGGTTTGTTTTTTTTTTCCTTTAAGGAGAAATGATAATATTTTACTTTTACAGACATTGTCATACACTCAGATCCAAGCTAATTTCTAATGACCTTCAATAATATCTTAGTTTTAAAAATCTGTATATAGAAAATGAAAGAAACTAGGGTTAGTGTGAGTGAGAATCCAATGTCAAGCAGGTGCTCAGCCATTACCCAGTGGCTTTCTCCATGCAGAAGCCAGCCCCAGTTACTACATGGGAATCAACAAGAAGTCACAGAGTAAATGAGACTTTGAATTCCTCAAGGCAGAGGACTATCCTTCGAATTTTTGAAACTTCAGTGTACACAGAGCCTAGTGCACTTACAATAGGCACTCAACGCCTGTTTATCAAGCTGGACCAAGGTCATATGTGAAGAGAACAGGAGGACTGACAACCAACTATTTCTTGACTAAAAGTTTTCTTGCAAGTGAAAGCAGATTCATTCATCTGTAAGGATGAGGACAGGGGAGGGAGGGCTTTGAGGCCGGGAAAGGCAGGAAGGGGCAAGGACTTGCAGGGACTTACCAGTCAGGGGTGTGGATTCACAGATGCAGGGTGTAGTAGGTGGGTGGTGGGGTCAACATTGACTGCACGACAATTGGCCAAGGTGGCTTTTTTTGTATAACACTGTATGAAGCTACAACAAGATAAAAAGGCACTGTCTTCATTTCAGGAATAGACTGGAGAGGCAAAGGACAGCACCCTGGGATAAAGGTTCCATCCCAGGCCTTTAATCCTTGTCACCACCCTCCACACTGGTTGCCTGTATGGGAACAGAAGTACACGCCTCTCCTGCAGTAGGATGGCTGCCCTTCTCTAATTCTAGCAAAAGAATTGGGGAAGCTCACTGAGAAACATGCACTTAGAGACCCAAGTCACATTTGAAGGGGTGGCTAAAGACAAGGGGATTGAATATAAAGCGATATATGAACAGAAAAAAAAAAAATTCCAGCTCCCTCCTCCCCTGGCAGGAGATTTTAGGAGTAGCCTCTGGGGAAACTGGAGAATCCAGTTAAAAGGAAAGAGACTATCTTTTAATGAGGTACAATGAGGTATAAAAGAGACTACAGAAGAGAGACTACCAGGGGCAGAGATCCTCCAAAGAAACTCCCCAACCAGATTACTCTACCTTGAAGCCCACCTGCCAAAAACCCATACCCATTGGCTTTTCAGTGCCTCACTCTTCCATAGGAATAGATTGTCAAGAATCACCAGGCCCTGAGGAAATATTTTAACACAAAAAACAAAATGACAACAATAGACTGCCCAGAACAAGGACATTAGAGGTAACAGAGCCAATGCAAAGATTTGGAAAACAAAGAATGCCAATAAATTCACATAATGAGATGAGAAAATAGTCCCATCTATTTAAATAAAAACAAGAGTTCATAAAAATGAACATGCAAATAAAATACAAAAAAGAGCTCTTGACAACTGAGGTGAAAAATTCAGTAGCAGTTCCTATCAAGTCGTCCTGCCCTCAAGATGTCTTCCTGCTCTATCTCTTTCCCAAATGCACTCGATGTATATATATATATATATTTTCTTCCCATGGCCAACAAGTGAAATTCTGCCTACAAATTAAGCTTGAGCTGTTGTATAATGAGATATATTATTTATGTGTCTGTCCAGTGTTCCCTGGTAAATAACCATAAAGGTGGTTTAGCAAGGTCACTAGTCAGGTCAGAAGAAATGATAGTTGCCAAGTCAGGGGGCGGAGAGGGTAGAGGACAGCACTTTAGTTAAGTCAAGAAAAATGGCAGGGACAAGTACATTGCAGAATAAAGATGCCTGCAAGAAGGAATTAAATTTTGCAGTATGCATGGGCTCGTCCTGTAATATTGAAGAAAGGAGACCAAAATCCATTTGTGTAAGTGCGCATTTCAAAGAAGAACATAAGCTTCGTGCTGGGAGGCTGTCAGTTTCCTGGCGTGCAATGTGTGAGGTGTGAAAAATGAATGAATGAGAGTCATTTTTCAAATAAGGTACTTGAAAGTTATTGATGAGTGGGATAAGGTTGACAACAGAGGGTTTGAAATAATGTGGGAAAACATTTGTTTTTTGAGGCTCAGTGACAAGGTAAAGGATTATAACCTTAAAAATAGAGAATAAATAAAGTTGCAAATTTATTTTACAACACCAGGGAGCGCCAATAATTCCATATCTATCCCACATCCAATGTTGCTAGCCAAAGATTTGGTCTCTGCAATTTTACATTATTAATGTTTCTCAGATAAAGGGGGTACTTGCTTTCTCTGTTCTATCTGACACTTATCTCAAGTCTTTCTATGATTTCTAATGTTTTCAGGATGGGTTCATGCTATAACCCCAAATAATAAAAGTTTACAGGAGAAAAAATAATTGAAGAATTGGAAGACAAAGTTGGGGAAATTTCCCTGAAGGTAAGACAAAAATATAGAGCCAAAAAGTAGAAAAAAAGAAAAAGAAAAATTTTAGAGGAAAAACCCAGGAGGTATAATAATTAGCTAATTGCAGTTCCAGAAAGAAAGATTAGAGGGGAGTAAATTATTAAATGGTCCGAAGATATTTCCTGTAACTGGAGAATATAAACTTTCAACTTGAATGGGTTCAACAAATGTCGAATATAATAAATAAGTAAAGATCCTCTGTGGGCACACTATTAGGCAATCTTAGAAAACTGGGAAAAGAAGATACTCAAATTTTCCAGGAGAGGGTGGAACATGTTACATATAATAAAGAATCATAATGACATAGAATCTCTTGACAATAACACTAATAAAAGTCAGAAGATGTAAAGATTTGCCTTCAAAATTCTGAGGGAAAATTATTTCCATTCTAGAATTCCATATCCTGAAAACTCTTCTCAGGGGTGAGAGAAACCTAAAGAAACTCTCAGTCATGTACGGTTTCAAAACTTTCCCTCCCCATACATCTTTTCTTAGGAAGCCACAGGAGGCTTTCCCTAAAATAAAAGTAAATGAAGAAAGAGGAAGATATGGGACCTAGGAAACAGGTGATCTAACTCAAGAATGAGGTGATGGGGGGGCGCCTGGGTGGCTCAGTTGGTTAAGCATTTGCCTTTGGCTCAGGTCATGATCTCAGGGTCCTGGGATCGAGTCTCCCTGCTGATCGGGAAGTCTGCTTCTCCCTCTCTCTCTGCCTCTGCCTCTCCCTCACTCTGTCTCTCTTGAATAAATAAATAAATAAATGAGGTGATGGGAATATCCGGGATGATTAGGAAGGCAAATCCCAGGAACCCGGTTTGCTGGCGACTCAGTGAGCAGCCAAGCCTGACTGAAACAAGGAAATGAGGTTCCACAAGGGTTGTGTCTAGGGAAAAATGTGATGCTGCTAGACTATGGTGACATTCCCCCTGGCAGAGTTTGCCGATGTGTTAGCAATGCAGACAGACATAGAGAGAGAGAGAGAGAGAGAGAAAGAGAGAGAAGATTATTAGCTATTAACTCTGGAGTAAAAGAAAACTTATACATGAAAGGAAATATATTTATATTATACTACATGACCCACCCAAGAATGTTATTTACAAAGCCATATCAATGTAAATGCTGAATGCTGATCTAAACCCAAATTAGAGACAGGTTATGGAAAGGGAGAAAAAAGGTATGGGGAAGCTTGTATAGCTTCTACTATGAGGATATGTGTGTATTCCTCATAGTCCTTGGGTATGGGTGTATTCCTCATATTCCCTGGTAGAAATTAAACACTTAAAAATTTAAACAAATTTAAACAAATGTCAATTTGTTTAAATTAAATTTAACAAATTTAATTAAATTTAACAATTAAATTTAACAACTAAATTTAAAAAATTTAAACAAACGTCAATAAAACATATTGCTTTAAGAGACAAAGGTAAATATAATCTTTTATGTCAATTATATCTCAATAAAGTTAGAAAAATAAGTTTTTTAAAAAGATGAAAGTAAATACCAAAAGAAGCAGCTGAAAGATTTGTGTACATGCATATCTTTAATTTAAAATTAAAGTTAAAAAGTTAAAACAAAAGGAGAAAAAATATAGCACAGAGGCACAATATTTAAAACAGTAGATACTGAAACAGGATTTGAAAGACACATCACAGGAAAAGGAGAGTCCAGAAATAGATTCACCAGGAATCCCAGTTCTCATAGTGTATGCTAAATTTCTAATCACAAAAGTGAGCATGGTCGTCTCTTCTTGCATTACTCAGAAAAACTTGGAAATAATCTAAAACCTCAAAAAAGGAGGATGGGGCAAAGATAAAATTAGTTGAGACACACACACATATATATATAGTGATGTTTACCATGAAGCCAACAAAATGATGATATTGACCTATGTTTATTGTTTTTGTGGAATGATGTCCATTATATGTTGTGTAGAAGTGAGTTTCGGATCATTATGGGTGGTATGATGCCATCTGTCCCTCTGTCTCTCTCCCTCTATCCACACACACACACACACACACACACCTCACATATCTGTTATGTGTGTATATGTGTCTGTGTTTATGAGCTTATATGGACCTGTATGCATAAAGAGATATCTGGAAAGATTTCTACCAAAATTTTGGTAGACTTTATTTCCAGCCATTCATCCACTACATGGACAAAGCTCCCTGCACATACTAAATGTCTGTGGTCCTTGAGGACTGGGACTGTGTCTAGTTCCTAATATCCCCAGTAATTTACTCAGTACTTGGTATAAAGCGATAGCTCAATACATCGTGGCTGAATAGTCATTTTAAATTTTTACAAGTAGTCAATAATTTGTCAGCCCCAAGATAACTAATCCATTAAGTTAGACCAGTGTCTTCCAATAAAAATATGAGTCACTAATGCAAAGTACATCAGTAATTTTAAATTTTCTAGTCACAGCAAGGAAAAAAGAAACAGGTGAAATTAATGTTAATATATTTCATTTAACCCAGTATGTACAAAACATTATTAATATACGTAATCAGTATAAAAATTATTAATAAGATAGTTTCCTTCATCATGTTAAATATTCAAAATCAGATGTGTGTTTATACTTACAGCACAGCCCAGCACTGACTAGCCACTTGTCACGTTCCTGCTAGCTACATGTGACTAGAAGCTACTATATTGGAAAGACAGGGTTAGAATATCCAGTTTCCTGAATTTCCTGGTCTAGGCCTCCATTGATCCTACATGATTTGACTCTTACAAAAACATGAGCCCAGCTTCTCCCTTGGAACATGTTCTTATACCATACCTGGAAACTTGGTAAAACTTGTTTCGGTTAAAGATCATGACTCATTTGGACTAACTAGCATTATGATAGGACCTAGCAAAATCAAACATTCTGATGTCAGAAGTTATAAACAGAATCATATTGGCCCTTATCAGAGTGATTAACATTCTTTACATCATTTATTTTACTTGATTTACCTGTTTGAGTTAGAGAAAACTAAGATTGTTTAATGTAATACAATGTAACGGCAAAAACTGCCATTTGATCTAAATCCCCTTGAGTTCCCTTCCCAAGACATGTTTTCTTTCAATTAATTTAGGAGAACCGTTTATGGGTTTTTTTTCTATGAACAATTCTTATAAACAACTGGAGCAGCATGTTTCCCAACTTATTGAGAGAAGAGATCTTGAGTCATTTGATACATCTCAAAATTGCATGAGAGTGGATGACCACAAACCGGATATGCTATTATTTGAGCATGATTTTGTCTAGAAACTTTTTTCCATATAGTTACTCTGGGTGTACTCTACATATACTCTTAGGAAATTATTTCAATGAAAGGACATTTTGAATTTAGTAGTGCATTCATGCATGCAATTTTTGGCAATTATACACTCATTTAAAAATGTAAACCCTGGGGTATTTTGATATTGTGTCCTGAAAGAGGAAAATACATAGGATCATAATTAGGTATAGTTGGCCACATATTTATTCATGAATTAAATATAAATTTCCTATCCTAAGAAAATACCAGAACGTTTCCATCAGGTTGGTTTAGAATCCCACCTCATATTTCCAACTAAGAGTTGGATTTATTAATATCCCTTATGCGTGCAGAATCTTTCTGTAATCAGGTCACATAAGTATGTTAGTGGAGATAAAAAAATTGCAAATTTGGTTGCTGTTTCTGAACACATCTTGAGATAAATTTACATATGCGTGTGTATCATTATAAAATAAGCGTTTAGTCCATTTGTATTTGCTCTAAATTTCCAGATCAAGTGAATAATCTCACCTGCCTATAAGAGATGGGAGGTGAAAATAACTTAAATAAACTTTAAAACCCAATTCCAATTTCTTTCACACTGTGTTCAATTAAATGCCCAATTAATTTAAATGGATAGACTGTAAATAAGGCAGTGCACATGATTATCATCTAATTAGCACTGGCCAGCATTATAATGTGCTCATTAGCGAGTTGTCTGGTATCCTAAGGCTCATAATGAGTAATCAGGGTACACGTGATTGGCATGTAGCTGTCTGGATGCAACTACTCAACCCGATAAAGTAGCACGAAGACCGAATGTGCAGGAGAAAAAGGAAGAAGAATGCATGGCTGGTGACTTGGCAGTTCCCTCCTTTGTATGATTCAGGTACAGCGCCTACTCTCGGATACTAAAGGATAAATTTGAGAACAACAGAATGGCTGGAGATAGAAATGGAAATGTTCATCCAAGGTGACCCAGAACAAGTGCCTAAAATTATTATGAATGATTACAGGAAAGAAAGAAACTACTCTGAATTTATTTGTCCAGAGTACGTATTCCTAATACACCAAGTACGGAATCAAACGAAGAGATGAGCTTAATAAAAGTTCTTGGAAGGTGAAAATCCAATTAATCATTTAAATCTACCCCGTGGTAATGTTCACAAAGCATTTCATAATTTTAAAAAGTCTTTTGCCCTCATAGTTTTTGTATGTTATTGTGAAACCAGTTAGCAGGCTGCAGGGAAGGGATGCCGCCCTAAGTTGCGTTTACTGTTAAATATGCAAGAAATTGCTCTGGTGGGTATCGTAGGCTGGCTGGCTTGACCCCCAATCTACATCGCTTTCCTTTGCTGGCCTCTGTTACAGAGGCTGGAAAGTAAAGTCTTTACCTTTCCAGACTCCCTTGAGGCTAGGGGAGGCCAGATGATACCGTGATGATTAGTGAAATACAGGCTCAAGTCTCTTTGGAGGCTGTTCCTTCTGGAATAAAGTGTGGGTTGAAGAAAGGCTGTTTCCTTCCTCATTTCTTCCCTCCTGGAGGCAGAGCAGGCATGCTGTGGTCATCTGGTCAGAAGCCACACACCATGGCTCATCTCACATATGGAATTGTTGTTAGTCTGGGAATGATCTAGATTCTACTGGCACAATATAGCCAGAGTTGAAAAGAAAGTGATGCAAAAAGAAAATGGACTTGAACCACGGTGGGTTGGAAGAGGTGGGGAATAATGTTACCATCGAATCTGTAGCTGGATAGAGTCTCAACCCAGTTCTTCCAAGCCCACAGGCCTATGTTGAACTCATCCTTGCACTTCTAGCACATAAAGTATTTTTCAGGTAGGCACCCAGGGAGATTCAAGAGGAAATATAAGCATGGGCAGAAGGGGTCCTGTTTGAGCTGTAGATCTTAGAAGCAATTTGGAATGAGATCTCTAATTTTCATTTAGCACGGGCAGTCCTCAAAAATCTTGGCACCATATAATTTGGTGTTAGAATTCGTGTCACATTCAAAAAGCACAGGTTTCGATAGCCATAAAGAGTTAAGAAGTAAATTTTGTCTTTACATCTTCGGGAGATCCATAACTAGTCCACAACAAACCTACT